TTCATAAGGTTTGCATTGGCCCACCTCTCTCTACTAGAACCTTGGGGGTGGGGGTGAACCCTTAGCAATCACTTACAGGAACCACCACTGTAGCCCCTCCCTCACTACAGGAGCAGACTTGGAGCTGGGGGAACTCTTAGCAGCTATGTACAGGAGCCACAACTGTAGCTCTTCTCTTGCTGTTAGAACAGACATGGGACTAAGGGGAAACCTTTAGCAGTTACTTACAGGAACCATTACTGTGGCCCCTCCCTTGCTACCAAACACACCCACCACACAAAACCACAACAGTCAGCTACATGCACAATAATACACTTTATAATAACATCCAGAGTAAGAAAAGAAGCGTATAGCTGTGAGTATTGCAGAGATGGTGATTTAGTGATACAGAACGTGTGAAACAGCCTGTCATTGAGTCTGTATGACACAATTGTTATTTGACCAAGTCATGGTAGCACTTTCTGGATACTTAAACTCTATCCATGTGTATTTTGTTTTCATTAAAACATTTAAAAAAAAAAAAGTTAAGTGAAGAGGAAGAAATCAGGAAGGTTTCTAAGATTTTGGTCAGCACTGTTGATGTTGTTTATATAGCTAACATTTTTTTGTCATATGACCAAAAAGAAATGAAGAAAACAGAGTATAGGCCTAAAGATAATTTGTTTTGTTGTTAATACTTTTTTTTTTGTTTCCGCCCCCCTCCCCCCTTCCTCTGGAAAGGATATTGGATATTTAATTTCTTAACCTATTTTAATATATTTTCTATGCTAGAGGTGGGACAGAAGAATATGTTAGGAATATTTTGATTTTTAAAATAACCTTGCTGTCTTATTAGTCAGTTTACAGCATTAGAAGTTGTCAAAAAAATTATTATCCTTTTTGTTAGAATGAAAAACAAATTGAAAAGAAGCGTCAAAAGTTGGAGACTGAAAAGGCTACAATTGTATTGAAGTCACAAACAGAGCACGAACAAGTGGATGCCCAGCCCTTGTCAAGGAGCAGTAGCCAAAACACAAATGATAGTAGACTAGAAACATGCAATTCTGCAACTACACAGCTTTTGCAGCATGAAGAAAAGAATGAGCAGGAAGCCTCAGAATGCCTTGATTCAGGTAAAACTGCTTCCTTTTAATGTGTCATTTAATGTTATTTTTCACATAGTTCTTCCCTTTGTCTGTATTATTTTTCATGATACCACATGTCAAGTTAATCTACTGAAAACCTAAAAATGCATCGTTAGGTTATTGTATTGGAAAATCTGCTATGAAAAAGTGCATGTTTCTTGGTATGACTGATACTGTATCTGAAATTAAGTTCATTTTTATCATAATCAAATATGTGGTCCACTTTTCATCAATACCAAGCTAAGTTGAATTTCTTTATTAAAACTTGGAGTTTGCATATATTTTATGCTTACAGTTTATTTTCTGTAGCAAAATGTTGTGTAAATTTTACATTTCACATGCTTTTGTGTATAAGTTTGGATTGAAAATTCATCTCACCCCAGCAATTGTATTAAAAGATGATCTAACATGTTCTCTGAATATAACTGTATGATATGTACTGCTTTATTTCTGTTTGATGTAGATAACAGTAAGAAAAAAAATAAAAAACCAAAATTAAAAAGGGGCCACAGAGTAGAACCTGTTAATACAGACGATGCTGTTCCCAAAAATACTATGCCACCATCAGCTCTTCCACCAGGTACGTGTACTTATAAACAATAATCAATGTCTCAATTTGTGGTTATTAAGCCTTTAAAATATTCATTTGTGAATGATGAAACTGGAATGGTCTTCATAAAAGAGATGTGCTACTAAATCTTACTCTCCGGGAAATCTTTGATGCAGTTTCCCACTTCATGGTATGAACTTTCAGGAGTATTGATTTGCTCCATTCTGCGGGGGGAAGATGTTACTATTTTCATAAAAGAGAGTCAGAGACTTGACTACTCACTGATGAAAAAGTGATTAAAAATATCAATATTTGTAAGTCAGTTTGTTTTTAAAGCATTTCATAATTATTTGCCATATTTACAGTATATTACATACTTTTGGCATTTCTAAATGCTTTGATTTCTCACAAAGAGAACAGGCTTCTGTACATTTAATCAAAATCAAGTGCAGTCGTGGTGTGTTTTGACTGTCTTTGTTTTCCTTTAGTTGGCTGGGAAACTCCCAAACCCAATAGACTTCGAAAACTTGAGCCTCTTGGTGAAACACATCATGCTGGTAATTGAAAATATTTTGGGTTTTGTAATTTTTAAAAAACATTCTCCATTGTTCATTCACTTCTACATTAATTTCATTCTTCATCTTTTTTAATTTCCTAATCCCAGTTTCACTGACCAAAAGCTAACCCTTTTGCTTAGTAGAAAGCATCTTTTTGATTTTTCAAGTCTTATTTTTTTTACCAAAAAGAGTAAGTTCTCTCAGATTCCCTTATGAAGTTTAAAGTGGCATGGGATATCAGAAGCCATTAATGTTCTGAAGTTTTTTGCATAGCAGCATGCACTTACATATTATAATATCCCATAAAAAAGAGTAACAGGACCAGTTACTTTAATAGACCAAACACATATTTCATTCAAAATTAAAGTTTCAAAGTGTATTTCCATTGTCCATATATAGACAGTTCATCATTATGTGATGTAATGGGGACAGGAGTTGTGTTACCTGAATGCTGGAAGAAGTCTGAGGCACTCAGCAGAGAGGATACTGCAAGAACACCTGAGCAGGACTGCAGAGATTCACCAGGTCTTACTAATTTGGGATCCATGGTGGCTTTTCCACATCCGGGCTAGTTCTGCACTAAGCTGCCTGTTTGTTTCCACACGGATGTGGAAGGGCTAATTGTTTCACTGTACTGAGCCAAAATGCGTCCCGTGTATTTCTGGAGTTCTGTGAACCACAGCCCACGTCCAAATGAATTTGCTGTGTGTAAGCTGATTTCTTCTGTTGCCTCTTGACATAGTCTAAAACTTCTTCTGCTCTCTGCTACTGTTTCAATATGGTTTTAGAAGCATAGTCAGTAAGATTTTTTGTCATTGATTTGGGAGTGTTTTCTTGTGAGAAAGAAAGCTGAAGAAATGTGGGCACCTCTGAACTGAGTGCCTTATGTTAGCAACTCCAAATGAGGGACTGCAATTCCAGCTATGATGAACAGCCCAACATAAACTTGCTTGCAGAAATAGTGAGACTTCCAATGGAAAACTTGATCTGCAGGGAGAGGTCTTGTTGGTAAAGGTTGGGATCTGATGTTTTCTTTGAAGAGCCAGTGTCCCTGAAAGTTCACCAACTGATAGGAGAAATAAGTTTAATAACTGGAAATGTCAAGGTGGTGTAGGCAGATTCTTGATTTCTCTCTTCAGTAATGACTATTTTCTATTTTTGGAAGACTGTGGAAGATTGTTTTTCGTATCCTCATACTCCATCTTTTATCAGTTTTAGATGATAATTTATTTGTTTTTCTTACATTTTTACTTTTCAAATTTTGAAGAAGCAAGTGAATATGGAGACATCTGGAGTAATATGAGACGAGGATAACCAAACTATAGCAATGGGAACACTTATGAAAATTGAACAAAGAGAATATTAATTGAGGAACTTATAGAGAAAGGAGCTCAGAGTGGCTGTAGTGATCCTTGAGCTTAACCCTAACTTGAGCTGATTGTACTGCTATCACGTAGTACAGCACCGTGTGGACATACCTGCTGAAGTTCTGAAGCAACAGAACATGGAGTTTCTCTGCCAAAGAATCAAAAGATGCCTAAAGAGGAATTAAGATCTCTAAAAACTAGATATTTATTTTTCACAGGAGCATAATTTATGTGCAGAAAATGTAATTTGTAGTCTTAATCATAAAACCATCTTGCTCTTTTTTTTTTTTTAAAGGCATGTAGAGAGAAAGCGGCAAGAAAGAAAAGCCAGATGAAGAGGTAGGGATGGTAAGAAAGGGAAGGGGTGATACCCAATTTTGATCTGTGCTTAAGGGAGGTGTTGCGTTTTGTAGCAAGAGCATGGGTGGGACAAAGGGGAAAACAACTGCTTAAGCTAGGTTCCCTACTCATTGATGCGTAAGTCAGTAACCTGAGATCTGTGTTAGTTTAGTCCATTTGTAACGTAAGGATAATAAAGTATTTTGGAATTTAACGATGGAAATATGTTGGTAGGGGAACAATCTCTTGACCAGAGGTGTAACCACTGAGATCAGAGGAAACTTGGAGTGTTCAGAACTTAGCAGCTGAATTCAAGACATTGCCTGCTCTTTGCTGAGATGTGGTTTTTTTTCAGGAATTTTGAGACACTCGCAAGTTTCACATAGGTACAGTAAATCCTGAGAAAGCAAGAAAGCACATATTAGGAAAGCACTATTTATAGATGAAAAAAGCTCTGCAAACTCATGTTCCAGCATTGTCTAACCTTTAGTTAGGTCCTGATATCAAAGAGCATCAATTACTTATTGTGCTTAAAGCAGTTTTTTTTTTACTCAGACCATTTGAGAGCTGTAGCATCATAGAATCGCTTAGTTTGGAAAGGACCCTTAAGGGTCATTAAGTTCAACCATTGACCTAACACTACCAAGTCCATCTTGCACTGATTTTAGCTTGTCATCTGTCCTTGCCCGTTTTCTGTCACACAACAGTGTTTTTCAATGAGTTTTTACATATTTTGCGGATGGAGAACCTGCCTCTGCCTAGAAACTCATCTGAATTTTCCTAAGGCCAGTGGACACTACCTTTGATCTATTTGTTAGAATATTCCCTGAATTGCAACTTTCTGGAAACCAACTTCTTTTTGTCTGTCCCTTCAGCAGAGAAATAAATCAGTTTTGATTATTTAGGCTTTTTTTTTTTTTTCCCAGCTTTGCCCAAAATTCACTGTAAGGGTGGCTTTGAAAGTTTTTCAGGCATTCAATCTTGTGAAACAAAAAGGCCTGGTTTCCTTATTGGTTTCCTGCTTAGTTGATATATAAGTGTCTTGAAAGCACAATTTGCAGTGTGAGCTTAAAGTTGTTGTTTTGTTTTGTTTTTTAATTTCCTTTAGCTACAACTTTAGTCAGGCTTGCTTTTCTGTGGGATTTTTGGATTCTCTGAAGTGCACTGTTTCCTATAGCAATACTGCATTATGTTAAAGAATTTGCTTTGACAAACTGTTATTGGCCAAGTGTCTGAAAAGGCTTTGTATATGGGGCAAATGAGTACCTGCCCTCATGTAGACCAGGCTGAAAAACCTCAGCTCCAGTAGGATGCTCAGTAGATGCTGTTATCAGGACTTCAGGTAAAATTGTTAATGTCCATAAGAGCAAGGAAAGAAAAAAATATTTAACAGACTGCTTTTAAAAGTTTAAGGAGCTGTAGTTATGCACAGAAGTTATTTTCAGGAGTACACTCAAAGTCTGTGTCCAAGAGTGTCTCAATGCATCATTTGATGGCTCCTCAATGTAAGTCAAGAAACTCCCTTAAGCTTCACAACAGAGAGGACTTTTGATAGTGTTGATTTCTGCTAGTCCATGTTAAAACACAGAAACAGGTCTTTCTCCGTATTCCCATGCATTCTAGTACAGGTCTTTGTTAGTTAGGATAGCAGTTATTCCTTTGTTTTTATCTTACAAATAATTTTTTGGAAAGTGTCACGGATATGTGGTAGACCTTGCTGCTGAAATATATAAAATTAGTGTGGTGTGAGCTTGAAACAACATCCAAAAGTCCAGGTTTTAATGCTAGGTATTCGTAGCGATTTAATGTGCAAACTGAAAAATTTAAGTGTTGGTGAGCAGGCTATTGAGTGCATATGTTGAGTCATTTTTGTGTCATTCTTAGCAGAGAACACTATGTTGGGTGTTTAGGCAGGGTTCACAGGCAGTAGAGTCAATTATATAAATCTTCATACACTTATTTTCACTAAAGGCTGCAATTTTTCCAGTCACACTAATGATTCTAGCACAACACTAGGTAATGAGTGTCTGTTTACTGTTACTGGAGGATATATTTACAAGAATAATAAACCTCTCATTATAGGAGGTAAAATTGTCTGCCAGTCCTAAAGTTGTTTGCCAGACCTCAAGAAACTAATAAAAATATCCATCGGACAGTTTTTCATTTACCCTATAATAATTTGTTGCAGTTTTGTTGCTTTTCACATGCTGCCATAACACTGAATTAGCTCTCTTAAAATCAAAGGATTTAGAACAATAACATGAAAGTGTTATTTTACTGATTTAAATGTAAGGATAACTAAAACCTTGATCCTATAGGCATGTACACATATTCTTAGAGTAATGTAATTCAACGTGCTTGCTTTTGTTGATTTTAGCTCAGGAATGCAATTTTAACACAAGTTATTGCATATGTAGACCAAGTGGAATATATTTTTCTTGGAAAACTATGATTTACTAAAGCTGAATTTTGTGTTGGCAGACCATGAGGCTTTTTTGAGGAGGAGGTTGTCTGTATTAATGAAATTGAGATTTGAATGTTTCAAAAAGCTGCTTTTATTTTTTCTTGATTTCTACCTGTTTCCTTTTACCATCTTTCATGATATTATTTTGCCTGTGAAATATTTTGTGTGTACCAGCCTGCATGTTTTTTTTCTTCTATATCAATTGCAAATGAGAATATTCATTATTCTCTTCTGATGTACTTAATAACTTTATCTTGAACTATTTTACCACTTTAAACTCTTTTATTGACAAAAGGAAATGTTGCACTTCTATCTAAAAAATCTTAATATAGTTCTTTTAGAAAGTTAGTATGTCTTTCAAGATAAATGCCATGCATAAATGGTCCCAAAATTTGGGATGCTGCTTAGCGTTGCTGTTACTTAAAACGTTATTGCAATGCAGACTTGACTACAGCAACATTCAAATTTTGATACTTCATTTTTTCAGTTGTTGTTTGTACACTTTGGATTTCTCGTTTCCTATTTTTAGGGATGTTTACTGATTACCTTTGGGCTTGATCTTGCGAATGCTGATGCATGTAGAACAAAATGTAGTTAAACCCTGTTTTATTCAATACACCTCCAGACATTAATTAGCACTATGTCTGAAAGCTGCTTGTAGGAATTAGCTCTAAGCTTGTAGGCTACCTAGCTTTCATTAAGGAATCAAGAATTTAACTTATTTAAACAGCCTGTAAGCAAGGGAGATGGTAAATGACAGATTAATGTGTTTTTCTTCTCTGACATTTCTTATACAGATTTCTATGGAAAGCCTCTGCCCCCGCTGACTATACGCCAAAGACCCAACAGTGACACCCATGATGTCATTGCTTAACTGGATCACAAATAGCATTTAAAAAACATCATACAAAAATGACAGCAGAAGTGTTTTTTGCCCTTGAAAGAAAATTTTTTAAATGACAGCTTGTTGGAAAATAACTTGGTGACAATTAAACATGGAGTTCATTCTGTTGTACTTATTTGGTCAGAGTTCGTAATTTACTTTTCACACCACCAGCTCTTCTTCAGGATTTAGCATGAGATCAAGAAAGGTCTATATGTCCATGGATGCTCCTATGAACATGGTATTGAATATTTATTTGATTATACATATGAGAATACAGAGCTGTAAACCTGAAGAAAAATACCTTCAAGATCATAATACTGGACTGTACATTCTCACCAAGACCTTGCTGCAGGTGCTGCACAGTGCTGGGTATTTTTGCAGCTAATAAATGGTTCTAAAGCATTTTGTAAGATTTGTGTATGATAGGGTGAATATAGGAAGTTTATGCAACAAATATTGAGTATATTTTTCTAACTTTTTATAAAATTATTTGAAAGTTTGAGTGGACATGCATACCTACCACCAATAAAATGATACCTAGAAAGCATTAGAATGCTGATAGTCGAATGCACACGAGTATCTTTCACTTTTACATTTCTCTTACAGTAGCAATACCTCTTATTAAGGATTACATCACCAGATACATATTTCTTCTGGCAATCTGAAGGGGGTTAAAGATAGAAATTATGCTATTTGAATTGTCTGAAAGTTTTCTTATGTGTTGTTTTCTTTGTTTTGTCAACTGAGTTTGGCATAGGTAATAAATTCAGTTGAAAAAATAGAGTTGAATATTGTATTGTCTACTACAACATACAAGAAAATTGCACATGGCAAAAGTTTTGCACTAATTCAGTCTTCAGTTCTGATGAAAAACTGAATCAACCAATATGCAGATAAACTCTAGCACTTTTTAATCTCCATAATACTAAAACATCATCTTGAAAACAAAGGAAACTGCAGATTTTTAAGATTAATGTAATACTTCCATGTAATGTGCTAATTCTACATTAAAAAAAATCGCATACAAGTGATAGATAAACAGCAAAGGTTACGGTTGGATATATTCCTGTATAAATGTGTTTCCTCTTACATTGGAGACAACCATCAGTATACTGTATAAAAGTATAGTTATGCCACTCAGTTACAGCAAGGATGAAACCCCCATTCAAAGGCTTTTTGAAGAACCATTATTTGATTATTTTCTGTTATACTTTTTACAGCAAGGATGAAACCCCCATTCAAAGACTTTTTGAAGAACCATTATTTGATGATTTTCTGTTATACTTACAGTCTTCCATAACATGGTATTACCAACAGATTTTAGTAGACATTAAAACAATGCAATGTATGTATTCAGTACTTTGACATTAGAAATCTTTGCCATATAGCCCTTACAGTGATGAGTTACACAAATAAACATCTCCCATATTAATTAAAATGAAATTATTATCTAAGATTTTTAAAGAGTATGTTTGTGTGGGGAAAAAAAAATTAGACTTAAGAATATTATATCTGGAATGGGTGGAGAGGAATATTCCATGTTTGCTAGTTTAGTGTAAGGAGGAAACAATGTGCATGTGACTGTCAGCATGAGAATACTTCTGATGTATTCTAATGGAGTAACATGGTCAGTTTGATCATTCTCAGGATTTAGTCATTTTCACTACAAACAAACATCGTATTAAGGGGGGGGGGGGTGTGGACAGAGGTGTGCATAAAAGTTTGTGTGCATTCTCAATCACACTATCTTTAGCTAAGCTACCGCTTAAATTTTTTTACTTCAAGACTCTACTTTTGCAGGCTTATTTTTTTTACAGCTTCAGTTTCTAGAAATGTATTACCCTTTAACACTTATGTAAAATAAATTAATGGAAGTTTGTTAAAAATAAAGCTAAATACTGCTGTGGAAACAAAATTTGAGAAATTGGAGTGTAAGATCTTGATACTTATATGTGAAGTGTGTGTTATGCATGTTGTGTGTGTGGACACGTATCAGTTTTGTTTCTGCTTTTAAAATAAATTTTACCAATATATGACCAAAGTACTCAAAAATGTTTCATACAGTTTTGTTTATTCATATGCTCTGTAATTATTTACTACTGTAATTTTTTTAATAATATATACTAGCTTGACTTTTCATTTGCCCAAGATGATATTTATGTATAGAATAAAACTAAGGCACAGCATAAACATTTTCCCCATATTATCATAAATTGACCATTTTTGGAAACAAGTATAGTCATAAATGTTTCACGGCTGCAAGTCTCATTTACATTGCTGAAATGTACAAAATAGAGACCTTATAGATGGAGTCTCTGCATATTTTTACAACTGCAATGTGATCAAATTTAGAATCTATTGATAGATTGGCACTAGTGTATATATGTATAAATATAAAGTGCTTTGATAGCACACTTAGTATTTGAGAGGTAATAAGTTGCACAGTTATAGGTTGAGAGGTAATAATTATTGCACAAATTAGAAGATTTTGTCAAGTTCTAGTGCTTTTCCTTGTCAATAACATCACTTCCAAAATGTATCAGTGCCTTCAGCTAAGAGTCTTTGTAGTTAAGTACGTGAGTGGTAAGAACAGAAATACCCTACCTAAGCAGAACTTTTTGCATTATCTATGTGCAACTTTTTAAATACATTTTAGACAAAATATTTTAAAGGTAAGTTAAATGTATCATCTAAGATAAGGAATAGTAATTTTCATGAGCTGAACTAATGTAAAAGGTAATCAGTGCTTCAAAATAAGTCATTCTCATTGTTGTCTTCCTTTTTAGCCAAAACCTAGAATACACAGGAGGACCTTACTCAAAGATAAAAAGGTTTTCAATAGAAACTTATAACTATAATTGTATTATTAAAAATAGGTATATTTCATATCCCTTAGTTTCACATCTGTGGTGTGGTCTCTCCACGTAAGCAATGAACAGTAAGCAAGGGGCACTCATATCGAGGTGAGACAAAAGCACTGCAATTTTAGAGGAAGCTATTTGATAACCTTGTGAGATTTCTATTTCAATTCCACAGTCCCGATGGAGAATTAGAAAGCTTTAAAAGAATTACCTGCAATAGCCAGGTGATGCCAGCTTTCTAATGGCCTTCTTGTGAGCCCTGGTTAGGAGGATCAAGATGGAAGGAGCAAGGCACCCGCAGAGAGGCCCACAAGGCAAGTGTCACTGGCAATCCTCAAACACATCGCTCACCCCACTGGCTCTCAGTGGGGCCACAGAAGCCGCTGTGCAACAGGCTTTAAGCCTGTGTTGTCTCTCACTTTCTGGACTGTGAATTCTGTGTGAGCTTTATAAAGGCTGCGGTGATTATCCTTTCCTTGGAACCCAAAGAACTGTAACTGTTCTCTGGAGGCCTAGCTGTCACTTAAAAATGGATTTCTCAGTTTTGCTATTTTAGATGACTTAAAACAAAGTTGACATGGCCTCATGACAATTTTCCTCTCTAGTAGAAACCAGTATATTTCGGCATATTTCCTGAGAACAGTTTTTGATATAATGATGTCACATTAGAAAAGATTGATGGGAGTAACAAAGCAAGCAGCATAGGTTTTGGGTTTTTTTCTTTAAAGAACATTCATATGGTATTTTTTCCACTAAGATACTGTAGTATTTTAGTTGAAAGCTTAGTACTGCAACTTCAGGATGCTACCCACTGACTTTGCCATACTGTCTGTTAGCTTCCTAGCTTCTGGAATTCATTCAACTCAAAGTACTTTACTGTTTTGAACAGAACATATACCACAGTATTTCAATAGATGCATCTGTAAATGGCATGAGGAGATACATTTTAAAAGTAAGCGTAATTTGAGGCAAGTTTATCTTCGGACAGAAGAATCATTTTCTTGGTTGGGTTGGTTTTGTGAGGGTTTTGGGGGGTGGTTGAGTTTTTGTGAGGTTT